TGGGGTGGGTGGGTGAGTGGGTGGGGTGAATGAGTGGGGTGAGTGGGTGGGTAGGTGATTGGGTGGGTGGGTGGGTGGGTGAGTGGGTGGGTGGGTGAGTGGGTGGGTGAGTGGGTGGGTGGGTGAGTGGGTGGGTGGGTGGGTGAGTGGGTGGGTGGGTGGGTGATTGAGTGGGTGGGTGGATGGGTGGGTGGGTGGATGGGTGGGTGGGTGAGTGGATGGGAGGGTGGGTGAGTGGATGGGAGGGTGGGTGAGTGGATGGGAGGGTGGGTGAGTGGGTGGGGGGGATGAGTGGGTGGTTAAGTGGGTAGGTGTTTGGGTGGGTGGGTGAGTGGGTAGGTGGTTGAGTGGGTGGGTGGGTGAGTGGGGGGTGGGTGAGTGGGGAGGTGGGTGAGTGGGTGGGGTGAGTGGGTGGGGTGGGGTGAGTAAGTGAGTGAGTGGGTGAGTGGGGTGGGTGAGTGGGGTGGGTGGGTGGGTGGGTGAGTGGGGTGGGTGGGTGGGTGAGTGGGGTGGGTGGGTGGGTGGGTGGGTGAGTGGGGTGGGGTGAGTGGGTGAGTGGATGAGTGAGTGGATGAGTGGGTGGGTGAGTGGGGGGGTGAGTGGGTGGATGGGTGAGTGAGTGGGTGAGTGGGTGGGTGAGTGGGTAGGTGAATGGGTGGGTGAGTGGGTAGGTGAATGGGTGGGTGAGTGGGTGAATGGATGAGTGAGTGAGTGACTGGGTGGGTGGGTGAGTGGGTGGGGGGGGGTGGGTGAGTGCGTGGGTGGGTGAGTGGGGGGGGTGAGTGGGGGGATGGGTGGGTGGGTGAGTGAGTGAGTGAGTGGGTGGGGTGGGTGGGTGAGTGGGTGGGTGAGTGGGTGGTTGAGTGAGTGAGTGGGTGGTTGAGTGAATGGGTGGTTTAGTGAGTGGGTGGGTGAGTGAGTGGATGGGTGAGTGAGTGGATGGGTGAGTGAGTGGATGGTGAGTAGATGGGTGAGTGAGTGGATGGCTGAGTGGGTGGGTGCTTTGGACGAGTGTTGGGGGTGGGCGGGTGCTGGTGACCTCCCCCTTCACCTTCAATTAAATCACAAAGGGACCCACAGAGAAAAGATCAAAGTTAACTCTGCGCCCAGAGATCCCGCCCCAGTGGGACAGGCGTCTATGACGTCACCTACCCCCTCCCTCCACCCCGCACAGCCCCCACCCCTCCCCAACTCCCTCGAAAAGCACCACGAGTGGCCACGTGGGATTGCCCGAACGCTCAACTGCGTAGGAGAGGCTGCCGTTTGCCCGTCGGGAGCTGGACCGGTAAACCGCCTTTGACCGTCTGTGCGACACCGCAGGTTCCGGTGGTCCTGGTTCTGGCTCCATTCGTTACGAGGGGTGGGGCAGTCCTCCACTCGGGTGGTGGGGTGGTGCAGGACATTGCCAAACAACAGGGAGTGGCTCTGCTACTGAACAAAAGAATGAAGGGGGCGCGTGGGAGCGTGGCGGTGAGGTGCGGGAAACTGCGAGTGGGCTTCGCCTCCCCATAAACAAGAGGCGAGGAATGCTGGGGGTGTGTTGCGGTCCCCCACCTGAAGATGAAAATCAGTGGCGAGTCAGACGCCTTTTATGACCTCCCTGTCACAGGTGCGAGCTAAAGTGGCACCCTGGGGGACAGAGTCATCCTCAGAGGTCGCAAACGGGTTTTGATTCCTTACCCGTACCCGTACCCGGCCGCACCAGGGTCGCAAATGGATACCCGTACCCGTACCCGGCCGGGTACGGGTAGCCGTTCCCTACCCGTACCCGTACCCTACCCGAAATGAGTGACAAACGGTGACTCACCAGTGACTCACGGCCTACCCGTACCCGTACCCGGCTGCACCAGGGTCGCAAACGGGTACCCGTACCCAGCCGGGTACGGATAGCCGGGTATCGGGTAGGGTACGGGTATCGGGTACCCGGTTGCGACCTCTGGGTCCAAGAAAAAACATCGTCCGGACTGCGTAGTGATGGAACAGCAGACGACGCGGACCACATGCTCTTGACACGAGTCACCTGAGCGCGCAGCAAGCTCTTAAGATTTGTCTTAAGTCTGGCAGACTGCAATAGCCGTGGTAACGAATGTCTAGGAACGACACAACCGTACAGGTGGCTGGTTAGATATGTACGCGTTCTAACCCAGAAACCGCTGTTGTGTGCAATGGTCGTACGATTCATAACGTCAAAGGAGAAAAGAACAAAGAGAAAGCCACTTCGAATCGTAAGTCAAAGTGCGTCTGGGTGTCACTCTCGTGAGAGCGGTTCCTTCAGGATGACATCGTCACGACCGCTGCACCAGCAGCCAATCAGCTGCCAGGAAGACGACCCCCTGGCTACATGGCCACCGTGACGACCCCCAGGCAACATGGCCGCCGTGACAACCCCCATGCAACATGGCTGCCGTGACGAACTCAAAGCAACATGGCCGCCGTGACGGCCCCAGGCAACATGGCCGCCTTGACGACCCCCAGGCAACATGGCCGCCTTGACGACCCCCAGGCAACAAGGGCTCAATTATGACCCCTAGGCAAAATGGCCGCCGTGACGACCCCCAGGCAACATGGCAACCGCGACGACCGCAATGCAACATGGCCACCGTGACAACCCTCTTTGCAACCCATTAATGTTATTAATTGATGTCATTAATTACGTTATTAATTATTCTCAATGATAATTGACTTCACGACGCCACGACATGTCTACGACCTCGTAAGTCATTCCACCACCCCCCCCCCCCCCAGGACTCCCATTAACCTCGGTCTCCGTGAAAATGAAACCACCGCACAAACCTCCCCCAACCCCCCACCCCACACCAACCAACCCGGCGGAGATTTCCATCGGCGCCGCAAGTCACCGGCCGAGACGAACGGCCGTGAAGCGTTCAGCCGGAAAATCTGCAGCGCGACGCAGGCAGCGGGAAGTGTTCAGCAGGAAGCGTTCAGCGCGACGCGTTCAGCGAGAAGCGTTCAGCGTTCAGCGCGACGCGTTCAGCGGGATTTGGGCAGTGCAAGGCGGGCAACCACCCAAGGGCATTCGCGAGGAATCCTCAGAGCCCCCCACCGCTCAACCCCTCCCCGCCCCCCTCAGGCCCGCGTGAGAAAGTTGACCGTGTGAGGAGTTGACCGGGTCAGAAGTTGACCCTGGTGAGAAGTTGACCGGGTGCGGAGTTGACCGGGTGAGAAGTTGACCCTGGTGAGAAGTTGACTACACAAGAAGTTAACCGGATGAGGTGTTGACTACGTGAGAAGTTGACCGGGTCAGAAGTTGACTACGCGAGAAGTTGACCTTGCGAGAAGTTGACCGGGTAAGGAGTTGACCGCAACGTGAAGATGACCATGGCAAAAAAAGTAAACTAGGCGAGAAGCTGACCAGGCAAAAAGTTGACCGGGCACGAAGGTGCTCGCAAGAGAAGTTGCCTGAGCGACAAGTTGCCCGAGCGACAAGTTGACCGGGCGACAAGTTTACGGCCGCTCCGCCAGCGGTTTTGTGGACCGGCCGAGAGCTGTTCAAACATTGACGGAGTCCGAACCTCGCCCCCCCCCCCCCCCCCACGTGACAAAGGTCACTTTGGCAATAGAAAGTGGGGGGGGGGGAATGGGCGGGGGTGGAGCGGGGGGAGGGGGGTCTAGGGGGGAGAGGGGCAAGGGGGGAGGGGGGCGAGGGGGGCAAGGGGCGAGGGGGGCAAGGGGGAGGGGGGGCGAGGGGGGAGGGGGGCAAGGGGGGGAGGGGGGGCAAGGGGGAGGGGGGGCTAGGGGGGAGAGGGGCAAGGGGCGAGGGGGGCAAGGGGGGAGGGGGGGCGAGGGGGGAGGGGGAGCGAGGGGGGGAGGGGGGGTGACCTTCAGCAGAGGGGTTCAAGTCCCGGTCCGTTGGCTCGATGGAAGGCGGCAGCGGTGGTGATGGTGGTGGTGGTGATGGTGGTGGTGATGGTGGTGGTGGTGATGGTGGTGGTGTCGATATTGGTGATGTTGGTGGCAGTAGTGCTGGTGGTCATGATGGTGGTGATGGTGGTGATGGCGGCAGTGGTGGTGATGGTAATGATGGTGATGATCACAATTTGTGTGATAACCAATCTGAAACAATATGGAACCATGAGAGAGCCATACTCTGGCTCTGTGAGCCCAAGCTAATCAATATTGAAACCCTAGAAATCCTGATTCTGATAGAAAGACAAAGATCCCCCATATAGCCTTAACAGACTATTGGGGCAAGTGCTGTTAGCGAGCACCTATTAAGGCCGGAATGGCACACGAGGGGGTGGGTGGCCAGCACCACGCCCGACCGCCTTTGTCTCTCCAGTGGCGATGTTTACACACCGCACCAGGTACTTATTTGAGGCCGAGTCGACCTAGGGGAAACCCAGGATTGGTTCGGATAATTGTCGCTGGTGTTGGCCGTGAGCGGGAATCGAACCCGGGTTCGCAGCGCAGTGCGCTAACCGCTACACCACCGCTCACCACGACGACCATCATCGCCTTTCATCTACCATCACATGCACCACAACCTCCTTCCAACATCGCCTCCACCATCACTCCCCCCAACCCTCCACCCATCACCTCCAACCACCCTTCACCATCACCTCCACCACCACCTCCCTCCACCACCACCTCCCTCCACAATCACCTCCCTCCACAATCACCTCCACCACCACCACCGCCACCGCCACCGCCACCACCTCCACCACCACCACCACCACCACCGCCACCACCTCCCTCCACCACCACCTCCCTCCACCACCACCTCCACCACCACCACCTCCACCACCACCTCCACCACCACCACCTCCACCACCACCGCCACCACCGCCACCACCACTACCTCCCTCCACCACCACCGCCACCACCACCACCACCACCTCCCTCCACCACCACCTCCCTCCACCACCACCACCACCACCGCCACCACCGCCACCACCACTACCTCCCTCCACCACCACCACCACCACCACCTCCCTCCACCACCACCACTTCCACCGCCGCCGCCGCCGCCGCCTACTCACCAGAGTGAAGTCGGCCCTCATGGACACGTGGGTCCCGTCGGCCTTGCGGAACTCGAGCCACACGGCCCCGGCGTCCCTCCCAGCGTCCCTGCCGCCGCCGCCGCCACGAGCCGCAGCGGCGGCCTCGTCTCCCCCGCCGGGGCCTCCCCCGGGAGGAGCCCGCCGGGGCCTGTCGGCGCCGACCGCTTGGGCGATCACCTCGCCGCCCACGCTCCTCACCCGCACCACCAATGGAGGCCCTCCAGCTCCAACGTTGCCGCCAATGCCAACGCCACCAACGCCGCCAACGCCACCAACGCCAACGTTGCCACCAACGCCAACGCCGCCGCCAACGCCACCACCACCAACGTTGCCACCAACGCCACCACCACCACCACCAACGTTGCCACCAACGCCGCCACCACCACCACCAACGTTGCCACCAACGCCGCCACCACCAACACCGCCGCCGCCAACGGCACCACCGCCACCACCGCCAACTCCACCTCCGTCACCTCCTCCTTCTCCGGCCATCACAGCGGCCACCATCCAGCAGCAGCTGCAGCACCACCACCACGACCACCACGCGCTGGCCATGATGGACCAGGCCGAGGGTGTGGCCGTAGGTGGAGGCGGTGGAGGTGGAGGTAGAGGTGGAGGTTGAGGTTGAGGTGGAGGTAGAGGTGGAGGCGGGTGAGCGGCGGGTGAGCGGCAGGAGATCGCTCCCCCTCGCCCGATGTCCTGGTGTGTCCCCTCAAAGGTGTTGATGAGGCAGGGGACCTCCTCCTCCTGTTGATGATGATGTTGATGATGTTGATGATGATGATGTTGGTGATGATGATGTTGATGATGATGATGTTGGTGATGATGATGTTGATGTTGATGATGTTGATGATGATGATGTTGGTGATGATGATGTTAATGATGATGATGTTGATGATGATGTTGATGATGTTCATGTTGTTGATGATGTTGATGATGATGTTGATGATGATGTTGATGATGATGATGTTGATGATGATGTTGATGATGATGATGTTGATGTTGTTGATGATGTTGATGTTGATGATGATGATGATGTTGATGATGTTGATGATGATGTTGATGATGTTGATGATGTTGATGATGTTGATGATGAGGGGAAGACATCGACAAGACACGGGGACGGGGTGAGGGCAGCGTGAGATCCAGGGAAGAGTTCAGCTCTCTCCTCCAGTCGCTCAACCAATCACGGTCACCATCACCTCCCTACATCACCAACAACATCACCATCACCACCACCATCACCTCCACCATCACCTCCTTCCATCACCAACAACATCACCATCACCACCACCATCACCTCCTTCCACCATCACCTCCTTCCACCATTACCTCCACCATCACCTCCCTCCATCACCATCACCTCCCTCCATCACCAACACCATCACCAACACCATCACCTCCCTCCACCATCACCTCCCTCCATCACCAACAACATCACCATCACCTCCCTCCATCACCAACAACATCACCATCACCATTCACCTCCACCATTCACCTCCACCATCACCTCCACCATCACCTCCACCATCACCTCCACCATCACCTCTACCATCACCTCCTTCCACCATCACCTCCACCATCACCTCCACCATCACCTCCCTCCACCATCACCTCCCTCCATCACCAACATCACCATCACCTCCACCATCACCTCCCTCCACCATCAGCTCCACCATCACCTCACTCCACCATCACCTCTACCATCACCTCTTGCCATCATCATCTCCTTCTACCATCACCTCCACCATCACCTCCCTCCACCTCCACCACCACTTTCCTCCACCATCAACTCCACCATCACCTCCCTCCACCTCCACCATCACCTCACTCCAGTCAGATTCACTCCTCAACCCTCGTTTGTTGTTGGAGGGCGACTGCCTCAAACTGCCCAGTAGCAGCGTCCTTCACAAGCCTCCTCCAACATGACCCAGCCAACGCAGCCTTGCCTGTCGGAGGAGCTCACCGATGGGATCTTTCAAGGATTTGTGAGCTCCTCACACAATCCAGCCTGGTTAAACCCAGGATGGATCGTAGGCAGGTCAGCCTAAATGTTTCTAACCGGCGAAGATGCTCCATTAGGGGGGTCCATGTTTTGCAAGCGTAGAGAAGGGAGGGAATGACCGTGGCCGAGAAGACCTGAAGCTTCGTGCGGAGCGACAGACCAGGTAGCTTCCACACAGCGTTACGCAACCGATGAAAATATGCCACTCGACTGATTTGGAGTGAGACCTCTGCTGTCAAACCGGAGCCGGTCATGAGCACACTGCCCAGGTATGGGAACTCTCCACTACTGCCCCATCACCAATTGGGAGTTGTGGGGGTGGAGTGTCTGATGGTCCAAAATACCCAGGCAAGTGCTTAGTTTTGGTGGGGCTGATGGTAAGGCCCCACCTCTTAGCAGCAGTGCCTCCAACTCCACCTCTGAGTGAGCAGCCATTACCAGATCATCGGCAGACATAACATGGTTGAGCAATAGGGAGCCATCCCTTAACTGCACCCGGGCATCGATCAGCCTCCCATTGTATCCGTACCAGATGGAAATTCCTCCAGTACAGCCATCGAAGGCTTCACGAACTACGTGGTAGAAATAGATGTTAAATAATGTGGGAGCCAGAGGACATCCCTGTCAACCCCAAGGTGAACAGGGAATGGCTCTGACTCCCGGCCACGTAGTTTTACCCGGGCCCGCTCACCATTATGAAAGTCCTTAATGATCGTGAGCAGAGGGTCAGGGACTCCAAAAACACGAAGAACAACCCAGAGCCCAAGCCTACTGATGGTATCATAGGCCTTGACCAGGCAGAGATGTAGGTCTTGTTGGAATTCCCTACACCTCTGCTGTAGCAGACGGACAGAAAATATGGCATCTGTGCAGGACCGCCCTTACCTGAAACTGCATTGGGGCTCCGCAATCCTCTCCTCAGCGTGTCTGGCAAGGCGATATTGAATAATCCTTGCCAGGACCTTTCCCGGCACACTGAGGAGTGAGATGCCCCTGTAGTTGTTACAGTCTGTGCAGTCCCCCATCTTAAAGAGGGGGACCACAAGGGCATCCTTCCAATCCTGCGGAACCCGTCCAGTGTTCCAGACTGTTGTTATGATATCATGTAGGGCAGTCTGTGCACAAACGCCACCCTCCCTCAGCATTTCGCTTGGAGATCATCTCTGCCCGGTGCCTTTCCTGGTCTCAGACTCTGGATCGCCTTCAGTATTTCCTCAACAGATGGCACCTCAGCCAGCCACTCACACACGCACACACACGGTGACACACACACGGTGACACACACACACAACAAAGACAAAGATCCCCTGTATAGCCTTAACAGACTGTAGGGGCAAGTGCTGTTAGCGAGCACCTATGAAGGCCGGCACGGCACACGAGGGGGTGGATGGCCAACACCACGCCCGGCCGCCTTTGTCTCCCCAGTGGCGATGTTTACACACCGCACCAGGTAACTCATTTGAGGCTGAGTCGACCTAGGGGAGGCCCAGGACCGGTTCAGATAATCGTCATTGGTGTTGGCCGTGAGCGGGAATTGATCCCGGGTCGCCAGGTTCATAGCGCAGCGCACTAACCGCTACACCACCGCTCCCCACACACACACACACAGTGACACACACGCACACGGTGACACACACACGGTGATACACACACGGTGACACACATGGTGACACACACACGCACACACGCACACACGGTGACACACACAACGCTGATACCCGCACATTCACAACAGCTGAGACTACGATGGTGCCGTGGTTTTTGTATCAATCGGCGGAATGCCAATTAGGTTTAATTGCCGAGAAATTCCAATTAAAACGCGATTCCAGGCGTACGAAGACCAATACACAAAGACACCCCGACAGAGTGTCGGGGCAAGTGCTGTTAGCGAGCACCTATGAAGGCCGGCACGGCACACGAGGGGGTGGGTGGGTGGGTGGGTGGCCAGCACCACCACGCCCGGCCGCCTTTGTCTCCCCAGTGGCGATGTTGACACAAACACACTTCATTTACCCACGCTCACTCGCAGATGGACACGTGTACACACAAACAGATAGACACACACACACAGATAGATAGACACAGATAGATACACATACAGAGAGACACACACAGATAGACACACACAGATAGACACACACACAGATACACACACACAGATACACACACAGATAGACACACACACAGACACACACACAGATAGACACACACACACAGATAGACACACACACACAGATAGACACACACACAGATAGATACACATACAGAGAGACACTCACAGATAGACACACAGACAGATAGACACACTCACAGATAGACACACACAGATAGACACACACACAGAGAGACACACACACACAGATAGATACACATACAGAGAGACACACTCACAGATAGACACACAGACAGATAGACACACTCACAGATAGACACACCGCACAGATAGACACACACACAGATACACGCACAAAGAGACACACAGATAGACACACACAGATAGACACACACACACTGATAGACACAAACAGAGAGACACTCACACAGATAGACACATACACAGATAGACACACACAGATAGCCACACACACACAGATAGACACACACAGATAGACACACACACAGATAGACACACATACAGATAGACATACCGATAGACAAACACAGATAGATAGACACACACACAGATAGATAGACACACACAGATAGACACACACACAGATAGACACACACACATAGACACACAGAGATAGACACACAGATAAACACACACAGATAGACACACACACAGATAGACACACACATAGACACACAGAGATAGACACACAGATAGACACACAGATAGACACACACAGATAGACACACACACAGATAGACACACACACAGATACACACAGATAGACACACACACAGTAGACACACACACACAGATAGACACACAGGTAGACACACACATATAGACACACAGACAGATAGACACACAGGTAGACACACACATATAGACACACACACAGATAGACACACACAGAGACAGAACCACAGATAGACACACAGAGAGACACACACAGACAGACACACACAGATAGACACACACACACAGATAGACACACAGAGAGACACACACAGAGACACGCACACAGATAGACACAAACACAGATATACAGACACACACAGATAGACAGACACACACAGATAGACACACACAGAGATAGATACACACATATAGAAACACACACAGATAGACACATACACAGATAGACACACAAATAGAGAGACACACACAGATAGACACACACGCATATAGACACACATACAAATACACATACGCACAGATAGACACACACACAGATAGATACACAGACATACACACAGATAGACACACACAGAGATACACACACAGAGAGATACACACACAGATACTCACAGAGAGATACACACACAGAGATACACAGATAGATACACAGATAGACACACACACAGAGATACACACATATAGAAACACACACAGATAGACACACAAATAGAGAGACACACACAGACACACACAGATAGATACACAGACACACACACAGATAGACACACACAGAGATACACACACACACAGATACACACACAGATACTCACAGAGAGATACACACAAACAGAGATACACACACAGATACTCAGAGAGATACACACACACAGAGATACACAGATAGACACACAGATAGACACACACACAGAGATACACACACAGATAGACACACACACAGAGATACACACACAGATAGACACACACACAGATAGACACACACACAGAGATACACACACAGATACTCAGAGAAATACACACACACATAGATACACAGATAGATACACAGATACACACACACAGACACACACACAGATACTCACAGAGAGATATACGCACGTGTAGATACAGCGAGATACACACAGATGCAAAGACAAAGATCCCCCCTACAGCCTCAACAGACTGTAGGGGCAAGTGCTGTTAGCGAGTAGCACCACCTATGAAGGCCGGCACGGCACACGAGGGGGTGGGTGGCCAGCACCACGCCCGGCCGCCTTTGTCTCCCCAGTGGCGATGTTTACTACACACCGCTACACCAGGTACTAATTTGAGGCTGAGTCGGCCTAGGGGAGACCCAGGACCCGGTTCAGATAATCGTCACTGGTCACACACGTGTACATACACACACACGTGTACATACACACACACGTGTACCACACGTGTACCACACACATACACACGTGTACCACACACACACACGTGTACCACACACACACACGTGTACCACACACACACACATACACGTGTACCACACACACACACACACGTGTACCACACACACACGTGTACCACACACACACACACGTGTACCACACACACACGTGTACCACACACACGCACACACACGTGTACCACACACACACGTGTACCACACACACACACACGTGTACCATACACACACACACACACGTGTACCACACACACGCACACACACGTGTACCACACACACACACGTGTACCACGCACACACACGTGTACCACACACACACACGTGTACCATACACACACACACACGTGTACCACACACACGCACACACACGTGTACCACACACACACACACGTGTACCACACACACACACACAACGTACACACACACAGCGTACACATACACGTGTACACATACACGTGTACACATACACGTGTACACAGACACGTGTACACAGACACTGACCTTAGCTAGGAATCCAACCCCGTCAAATCCTTGGTATTCTTCGTATCTTCTGTAGGTGTCTCTATGCGCGCGCGTGTCTCTGTGTGTGTGTCTCTGTGTGTGTGTGATTGTGTGTGTATCTCTGTGATTGTGCGTGTGTGTGTGTGTCTCTGTGTGTGTGTGTCTCTGTGATTGTGCGTGTGTGTGTGAGTTGTCCTCAATTGCTACGCAAGGCTACACGCTGGATCTTTGCATCTCCGTACGCTGTAGCTACACGTGTGTGTGTGCGTCTCATTACGCGTGTGCATACACGTGTGTCTGTGTGTGTGTCTCTGTGTGTGTGTCTCTGTGTGTGTGTGTCTCTGTGTGTGTGTGTCTCTGTGTGTGTGTGTCTCTGTGTGTGTGTCTCTGTGTGTGTGTCTCTGTGTGTGTGTGTCTCTCTGTGTCTCTGTGTGTGTGTGTGTGTCTCTGTGTGTGCTATCTATTTGTACGTGGTGAACAATCAATTCACTGCTGGCTGACACCCCCTATGCGTCTTCTGCACACACGCACACAGCCGCTGTGTCTGCGTGCTCATTGTCTCTGCGGCGTGTGTACGCGTGTCTCTGTGTACGCGTGTCTCTGTGTGTACGCGTGTCTGTGTGTACACGTCTCTGTGTGTACGCGTCTCTGTGTGTACGCGTCTCTGTGTGTGTGTGCGCGTGTCTCTGTGTGTACATGTGTCTGTGTGTGTAAACGCGTGTCTCTGTGTGTACGCGTGTCTGCGTGTGTACGCGTGTCTGCGTGTGTACGCGTGTCTGCGTGTGTACGCGTGTCTGCGTGTGTACGCGTGTCTGCGTGTGTACGCGTGTCTGCGTGTGTACGCGTGTCTGCGTGTGTACGCGTGTCTGCGTGTGTACGCGTGTCTGCGTGTGTACGCGTGTCTGGTCTAAATCCTTCAGCCTTTGCCCCCTTGCATCTCCCCTGCCGCTCTCTCTCCCTCCCCCCACTCTCACCACGCACACAGCTCTCTCCTCCTCTCTCCCTGTCTCTCTCTCCACACACACACACACACAGCCCTCTGTCTCTCTGTCTCTCTGGCTCTACACACACACACAGCCCTCACTCTCCCTGTCTCTCTCTCCACACACACACACACACAGCCCTCTGTCTCTCTGTCTCTACACACACACACAGCCCTCACTCTCCCTGTCTCTCTCCCCACACAGCTCTCTCCTCCTCTCTCCCTGTCTCTCTCCCTGTCTCTCTCCACACACACACAGCCCTCACTCTGTCTCTCTCTCTGCACACACACACACAGCCCTCACTCTCCCTGTCTCTCTCTCTCTGTCTCTCTGCACACACACAGCCCTCACTCTCCCTGTCTCTCTCTCTGTCTCTCTGCACACACACAGCCCTCACTCTCCCTGTCTCTGTCTCTCTGTCTCTCCGCACACACACAGCCCTCACTCTCCCTGTCTCTCTGCACACACACACAGCCCTCACTCTCCCTGTCTCTCTCCCTGTCCTCTCCACACACACACAGCCCTCACTCTCCTGTCTCTCTCTGTCTCTCCACACACACACAGCCCTCACTCTCCCTGTCTCTCTCTCTGTCTCTCCACACACACACAGCCCTCACTCTCCTGTCTCTCTCCCTGTCTCTCTCCACACACACACAGCCCTCACTCTCCCTGTCTCTCTCCCTGTCTCTCCACACACACACAGCCCTCACTCTCCCTGTCTCTCTCCCTGTCTCTCCACACACACACAGCCCTCACTCTCCCTGTCTCTCTCCCTGTCTCTCTCCACACACACACAGCCCTCACTCTCCCTGTCTCTCTCCCTGTCTCTCCACACACACACAGCCCTCACTCTCCCTGTCTCTCTCCCTGTCTCTCTCACACACACACAGCCCTCACTCTCCCTGTCTCTCTCTCTGTCTCTCCACACACACACAGCCCTCACTCTCCTGTCTCTCTCCTGTCTCTCTCCACACACACACAGCCCTCACTCTCCCTGTCTCTCTCCCTGTCTCTCCACACACACACAGCCCTCACTCTCCCTGTCTCTCTCTCTGTCCCTCTCCACACACACACACCCCTCACTCTCTCTGTCTCTCTGTCTCTCCACACACACACACACACAGCCCTCACTCTATCTGTCTCTCTGTCTCTCCACACACACACACACACAGCCCTCACTCTCCCTGTCTCTGTCTCTCTGTCTCTCCGCACACACACAGCTCTCACTCTCTCTGTCTCTCTGTCTCCACACACACACAGCCCTCACTCTCCCTGTCTCTCTCTCTGTCTCTCTGCACACACACACAGCCCTCACTCTCCCTGTCTCTGTCTCTCTGTCTCTCTGCACACACACACAGCCCTCACTCTCCCTGTCTCTGTCTCTCTGTCTCTCTGCACACACACACAGCCCTCACTCTGTCTGTCTCTCTCTCGCCTCTCTCTCTCCTACGCTGCCTCTCCCCCGTGTCTCTCTCGGCCTCTCACATTCATCGCTCGCTCGCTCCCTCCCTGTGTCTCTTCTCCCTGGGCACACAGCAGGGAGACCACTCATCCGGTCCTCTCCCTCCCTCCCTCCCTCCCGCCCTCACCACCCCCTCGCTCTCTGCATTCCCCTCCTCCTCCTAACCTCTCTCTCGCTGCGTCTCCCTCTGATCATCTCTCTCTCTCTCGATGTCCCTGGAACTCGCTCTCCATTCCTCCCTGCATTTCTCCGGATGTCCACCCCCCCTCTCCCACCCCCCTTTTCACCCCCCTCTTCACACCCCCCCCCCTCTCCCATTCTCTCATCTCCCATTCTTTTCCCTCCCCTCTCACTCTCTGCATTTCTCCCTCCCTCCCTCCCAGCTCTCATTTCAGATCTCCCCCAACACCCACCCCCCGTCACTCCTCTTCCCCTCCCTCTCCCCACTTCTCCTCCATTCTTCTCTTTCTCTGTTCCGCCCCCAACCTCTCTCTCAAAACACACGCACACACAGAGACACACACATAGACACACACACACAGACACACACACACAGAGACACACACATAGACACACACAGAGACACAGAGACACACACACATTGACACACACAGAGACACACACATAGACACACATAGACACACACAGAGACGCACACAGAGACACACACAGAGACACACACACACACGTAGACATACACAGAGACACACACACACAGAGACACACACAGAGACACACAGACACACACACACACATAGACATACATAGAGACACACACACACATAGACACACACAGAGACACACACACACAGAGACACACAGAGACACACACACACATAGACACACACAGAGACAGACGCACATAGACACACACAGAGACACCCACACACACACAGAGACACACACACACATAGACACACACATAGACACACACACATAGACACACACAGAGACACACACAAACAGAGACACAAACACACAGACACACGCAAACATATAGACACAACAGCCGCCATTCGCCACTAAGTGGCGGTGACGTCAGCACGACGCTTGTGCCAGGCCATGTGCACCTTGAGGCCACGTGAAGTGTCGAACGCCCGCTGGCAGGAGGTCACGGGACAGATCCAGGTGCCACGGGTCGACTGACTGAGATGACTGGCTGATGCACCACCTGTGCCCCCTACTGTGCCAACTTGCTGTGCTTTATCCACCCGGCGCTCCGCTCGTTGTTGTGAGCGTCGCTCCTCCGCCCTCCGTTGTTGTTGGTGGGCGACTGCCTCCAACTGCCCAGTAGCAGCGTCCTTCACGAGCCTCCTCCACAGAGGCCGATCTTGACACCGCTGGTACCAGTCATCGGCAAGTCCACTCAGCTCCACGTCCTCCTGTACCACATCACTCCATCTCTTCTCTAGCCCGTGCCGCGCCCGTTTAGCCCCCTCGATCCGGCCGAACAAAAGCTGCTCAGGCATGCGGTGGCTGGACATGCGGGCTACATGACCCAGCCAACGCAGCCTTGCCTGCCGGAGGAGCTCACTGATGGGACTTTGCCCAGATCTTTCAAGGATTTGTGAGCTCCTCACACAATCCAGCCTGGTTAAACCCAGGATGGATCGTAGGCAGGCCAGCCTAAATGTTTCCAACACGTACACACATACACATACAGACACTAAAACGCACACACACATACAACAACAACAACCGCCATTCGCCACTAAGTGGCGGTGACGTCACCACGATGCTTGTGCCAGGCCAAGTGCACCTTGAGGCCACGTGAAGTGTCGAACATACACTAACACGTACACACACACATACACACATACACTAACACGTACACACACAGACACTAACACGTACACACATACACACACACACGTACACACCCACATACACATACATACACACATTCCCCGCTTCCACCTGCTGCCCGAGCCCCGCCCCTCCGCCCACTGGGACTATCGACCTCAAGGACCCTGAACTCTTGGCTCGAGTAAGTAGTAGCTACTAAGATCCGTAGACCCCCCCAGTCTACTACCACTAGGCTCGAGTAAGTAGTAGCTACTAAGAGCCGTAGACCCCCCCCCCCCAGTCTACTACCACTAGGCTCGAGTAAGTAGTAGCTACTAAGAGCCGTAGACCCCCCCAGTCTACTACCACTAGGCTCGAGTAAGTAGTAGCTACTAAGAGCCGTAGACCCCCCCCCCCCCCCAGTCTACTACCGCTAGGCTCGAGTAAGTAGTAGCTACTAAGAGCCGTAGACCCCCCCCCCCCCAGTCTACTACCGCTAGGCTCGAGTAAGTAGTAGCTACTAAGAGACGTAGACCCCCCCAGTCTACTACCACTAGGCTCGAGTAAGTAGTAGCTACTAAGAGCCGTAGACCCCCCCAGTCTACTACCACTAGGCTCGAGTAAGTAGTAGCTACTAAGAGCCGTAGACCCCCCCCCCCAGTCTACTACCACTAGACTCGAGTAAGTAGTAGCTACTAAGAGCCGTAGACCCCCCTCCCCCCCCAGTCTACTACCACTAGGCTCGAGTAAGTAGTAGCTACTAAGAGCCGTAGACCCCCCCCCCAGTCTACTACAACTAGGCTCGAGTAAGTAGTAGCGACTAAGAGCCGTAGACCCCCCCCAGTCTACTACCACTAGGCTCGAGTAAGTAGTAGCTACTAAGAGACGTAGACCCCCCCCCCCAGTCTACTACTCACTGAGTGTGTGTCTACTACCACTAGACTCGAGTAAGTAGTAGCTACTAAGAGACGTAGACCCCCCCCAGTCTACTACCACTAGGCTCGAGTAAGTAGTAGCTACTAAGAGCCGTAGACCCCCCCCCCCCCCCCCCCAGTCTACTACCACTAGGCTCGAGTAAGTAGTAGCTACTAAGAGACGTAGACCCCCCCCCCCCCCCAGTCTACTACCACTAGGCTCGAGTAAGTAGTAGCTACTAAGAGCCGTAGACCCCCCCCCCCCCCAGTCTACTACCACTAGGCTCGAGTAAGTAGTAGCGACTAAGAGCCGTAGACCCCCCCCAGTCTACTACCACTAGGCTCGAGTAAGTAGTAGCTACTAAGAGACGTAGACCCCCCCCCCCCCAGTCTACTACCACTAGGCTCGAGTAAGTAGTAGCGACTAAGAGCCGTAGACCCCCCCCAGTCTACTACCACTAGGCTCGAGTAAGTAGTAGCTACTAAGAGACGTAGACCCCCCCCAGTCTACTACCACTAGACTCGAGTAAGTAGTAGCTACTAAGAGCCGTAGACCCCCCCCCCCAGTCTACTACCACTAGACTCGAGTAAGTAGTAGCTACTAAGAGCCGTAGCCCCCCCCCCCCCAGTCTACTACCACTAGACTCGAGTAAGTAGTAGCTACTAAGATCCGTAGACCCCCCCCCCCAGTCTACTACCACTAGGCTCGAGTAAGTAGTAGCTACTAAGAGCCGTAGACCCCCCCCCCCCAGTCTACTACCACTAGACTCGAGTAAGTAGTAGCTACTAAGATCCGTAGACCCCCCCCCCAGTCTACTACCACTAGACTCGAGTAAGTAGTAGCTACTAAGATCCGTAGACCCCCCCCCCCCAGTCTACTACCGCTAGGCTCGAGTAAGTAGTAGCTACTAAGAGCCGTAGACCCCCCCCCCAGTCTACTACCACTAGGCTCGAGTAAGTAGTAGCTACTAAGAGACGTAGACCCCCCCCCCCCAGTCTACTACCACTAGGCTCGAGTAAGTAGTAGCTACTAAGATCCGTAGACCCCCCCCCCAGTCTACTACCGCTAGGCTCGAGTAAGTAGTAGCTACTAAGAGACGTAGACCCCCCCCCACAGTCTACTACCACTAGGCTCGAGTAAGTAGTAGCTACTAAGAGCCGTAGACCCCCCCCCCCAGTCTACTACCACTAGGCTCGAGTAAGTAGTAGCTACTAAGAGCCGTAGACCCCCCCAGTCTACTACCACTAGGCTCGAGTAAGTAGTAGCTACTAAG